CATACCGGCGTTGTAGATCCTTATGCATAGTACCATCTCGGGAGAAGAGGGATCATGATCCGACGAGCACGTGTTGTGATCACGGCAGAGAGTATTTCTTGACACCAAGTACACGTGTTGCTATCTTTGAGTGTCCGAAAAATGTCCCATCACTCAATATTCTGAATCTAATGTTTTGTAGTACATAACTTGCCTAAATATACTTTAAATTGTAATGATTTGATTGATTTTCTACTCTCATCCCTTGGAGATGATACAAGGGTTATGTGATGAAATAAATTGTCATCGTATACAATATTTCATAAAACATTAAATTGTTGTTTTAAATTAAAAAAAAAATTATATTTTAAAGAAAAAAAAACTCTAAAAAGAAATTGTATTGACCACAACTATTTTTCATGTTACAAGTAATATTTTATAAAATTACGTAGTTTAACATCAAAAGACAATTTCTAGTTCAAAAAAAAAATTAAGCTCTACAAAGTCAAGTTTTTATATCAAAATTAGGGGTGTTAAAATATGGCACGACCCATTAACACGATTTAAATTTAGTGGGTTTGAGTTTTTCTTAAACCACCTGTTTAGTAAATGAGTGGACCCATCACAATACGATCATAAACGAATCAGGTATTGGTGAAACCAATTAGAAGAAATATATACGATATGACTCGTTTATATATCATTTATATAATTGGAAAAGTAGTTCAGAGAAATATTGTGTGGCCCTCTGTTGATGTATATTCTAATTTCTTTTAATTCTTTATTGTGTATATATATATATATATATATATATCAGTATAGTAACAATAATTTTATATTTCTTTCAGATGTCACTGAGAGAGTAGATGGCTCGGGAAAAATGTTCAATTTTTTGCATTAATTTTTTGTACTCATAGATCGTTAAATTTTATAAAAGTGCATATTTTACATTTTGTTTAACTCGTGGAATTGTTTTTTGTATGAAAATATTGCTATATTTTTGGAAATATTGATTATATTTACTTTTTTTTTTATCTATACATTAAATTGGACAGTTGTGTGGATACCAATGGGTCTTTGGTCTAATAGTACTCCTTACATTAGGAAAACTTTGTTTTCTTATGATCAAGGTTTTAAGCCTTCTTTCCTCTCCCCCTCCCAAAAAAAAAGTTGTACAAAATGTATATATGCATACGGTGCCGTCATAAAATATATCTTTTATATTTTACAACATCCAAATATGGTATTTAAGGCAGCACTTTTGCCACCATGATAAAAGCAAAAGTATTGAATTTTTTGTGACAACTTACTTACAACAAGGTATTGCTATCGTAAATACTATTTGAGACAGATCGTTGTTGCCGTAAAAACCTTTTGAAACCACACTTATTATGGTGAGGCAATGCCGCCACAAAAAGAATTTGTGACGACAAATAAATTTTTTATGATAGCATTTTACTACCATAAATTTTTTTTTTCTTGTACTGTATGTTACTATTATTATTTTTTAAATATTAATATTCAATATTAATATTTTGTCAATGAAATCCAAAATAAACTGGAATAGTAAATTGAAATTGTATTTTATGGAATGTAATAGGTTTAAAATTTGAATATGAACAGTTGTTGGTAAATGTCGGTTTCTTTTTTTTGAATAAAAAAATATTGTGGCTTGGAATATTGTAGTTGGATTTGAAAGCAATTTATGAAGGAGATGTATATGATTGGTTATTGTGTCTATAAACGTCGTTTATAACATTTCTACATAGAAGGGTTACAATAATAGAATTGACAAAAAAACAAACTTAAAATCAAATAAATTTTCTTGACGGATTTATCTCCAAATAAGTCCATATAGGAGAACCGGCCTCCAAATTTTTCAAAAAAAAAAAAAAAATTCATATAATTTTTTGTAAGGGTGGTAAATGGGTGGATTGAGTTGATTATGAGTTGGGTTAAATTAGATTGAGCTGCAATAAATCAAATCCATTTTTTATTTACCTAGTAAATGAGTTATAATGAGTTAGATTTATAATCGGTTGGGTTAAACCGATTAACCCATAAAATAATTAAAATTTTTAATAGACACATTAGTACACCAAAACACACACACAAACACGCATTAGTAGTACACCAAAATATAAACATACACAAATACACTAATACACCAAAAACACGCACAAACTAATACATTTAAAATTTACACATTAATACACCAAAAATACACAAACATATATACTAATACAAAAACTAAAACATATTTAATAAAAACAAATATACACATAATGGGCCGGGGTCATTTGTGGGCTATAGGTTAGTCTGTGGGTCATGGGTCGTGTATTAATGTGTATGTTTTTTGTGTATTAGTGTATGCATATTTTGATGTATTATTGTATATATATGTATTTTTTTAGTGTGATAATGTGTACTTTTTGGTATATTTTTTTAATTTTTTTATTTAATAAAAAAATAAATACTCAACCCAATGGATACCAATTTGTAATCTATATTAACCCGCTTAATTAAAATGATTCACATTACCTAACCTATTTATTTATGGAGCGGGTTGGACGGATTAATAGGTAATGAATTAAGATTGTCACCATTAGTTTTTTGTATTATAAATAATATCAAAATCCCTGATAAATAATTTAGGCAAACCTAATTGACATTTTTGAAGAATTTAAAATGAAAATAAAAAAATTCAAATTTAAAATTAAAAGTTCCTGTAGATGTTGGGCCATTTCATTTGGCAAGTATGCAACAGAGATCAGTCTACAAATAAATTAGTGATCAAATTATCGAAATTAACGAAGTCATGCCGTTTACGATACGTTGTGGCTACTCAGCCTAACCAAACTGCTAAATTAGATCTTTATGGTGAAAGCGATGGAAACTATTATCTAATTTGTTCCATATTAACAACAGTACCTCTGTTAATACCTTCCGAAAACAACAAGACTACTCTTACAAAATTTTATGTGACCATTTTATCACTGGGCTGTCGAGTTTGACACGTTGATACGAGCTCGATATGAATAATTATTAAATTAACACGATTATTAAATAGTCTAAACTAATATTTAATACTCAAAACACATTAAATAAATTTTTTTTTCGTGGATTTTGACGTGTACACGATACGAATAACAATGACACGACACAAAAATATATTATACGCGAGGTAGATGAACATAACACGATTGACACCTCTGTTTATCACTATAAGACACTTATCGAATCTGATTAACCCCTTATAATAAATATGTCACATCATTTATAAATGCAACTTGACCCAAATTTTGATGAGGGAAGCATTGCTCTACATAAATCAAGCATCTTGCCAGGCATTCACCATGTACTAGAAAAGCTTTTTATTTCCTTTTTATATAAAACAGTTGCAAATTTTGGGATTTTGGATATCCTCTAATACATCTTTAATCAATTAATTATACAATATTAATTTAAGTGGGTCCCACTAAATATACTTGGGATATTCATCAATATATGCACGTTACGTGATATATTTTTGAAAAATTATATTAGAAGAATTGAATGCAGAAATTTGAGCTCGAAAGGCATTGATGAATTTGAACTCTAGTACAGTGAAATAATCCAAAAATCATTGATGTCAACGTCATTTCTTGTTAGGAGCCCCAAGGTGTGAAATTTAAATAATATATAGCAGGAAGAGATATAGGTAGGATAGAGAGTTGCCAACAAGATTGTTACAATCAAGATAATGTGTTTGAATTTGCCATACACATTTAAGATGGGAAGCAAAAATGGTGGTAAAAAAGCAAGTAATGAAGAGAAGGATAGCCAAGGCTTATTAGTGAAAGAGATTGAGAGATTGAAGAAGCAACAAGAGATGATGCCACAAGGACATGTACATGATGATGCATCACTGGTTCGCCAACCTTGATTCTCTTATATCCCTCCAAGCCTGACCAACAAACTTGATGCTTTATCACCGTTGAATCTCTTTATCCTGCTGGTCCTGATAGTTGATCCTGTCCTTAACCTTCTCTTATCCTTCATGTAAATTTATGTAAGCAGGCCTATTCGTGAATTTGCACGTTCATTTCTTATTGTTGGCATATGTATCATTAAGATCAACATTTAACCGTAAGAGATTTTAAGGTACGTAATTTCTGCAAGCAAAACTCAACTGCATAAGGTTGTTCTTTATGTTATACACTGCAAGGGTGACTTCTCAGCTAGGAGTGCCGATCGTTGAATGATTGAAGTTTGCAGTGATAAGTTACAAAAACTGGGCACATGATTATGATAAGTATCAGAGAAATGGCATTCTTTTCTTTTTTTCTTGTTTTTTTTGTTTGACTGAAAATGGTAAAAAGAGGTATACTAACAAAAGTTGGAAAGTTGGTCTTTAAAGGTTAGCTCAAATAAGAAAGGTCTCATATGTTAGACCAGATCCCAAGTTTGAGTCCACTAACAAATACTTTATCAATCCAATGCACCTTTTGAGATTACGTTATAATCATGAATCCACCAAACACGTTAAATGATTCTCAATTATCAAACAAAAAAAAGTTAGAATGACACATAGAGAGCTTGAATAGAGGGCTATGCAAATTTTCCATTAAAAAAAAAATCAGTTGCCTATACCAAATGTCTTGCATCATCAACGAATATCAAAAGTTTCATTCAAATTTAGTTGGTGTTGGTTTTCTCCATAAATTTACTCCTTAAAAAAAAAAAGCAAAGAAAAAGGGAATTATCTTTGGTACCTTTAATTGTTTTGCTTCAATCAGGACATGCATAGTGAACCTTTTGATTGCTGAATAACTCATAGTCTGTAGGTCTACCTATTGGTTCCAAATAATGCGAAATTAGTCATGATTAACTATTCAAGTTCCATTCTACTTTTAACTGTAAAAACAGTTGTAAATGAGACAGGAGTGCCAAGAATTCCAACTGCCCTTTTTCCATTACTTTGTATGTACAATGTTTTATTTATTTATTTTATAATGTACAAGTAAAGAGTCAAATCAAATCACCTTAGGCCATCGAGAGAAATGCCATAGTGAAAGAATAAATCAATCAATAAATCAAAGAATGGTCAAATTATTTTTTGTTGCTACAGTGCCGCCTTCTTCTAGGAGTTGAAAGCTGGCGCATTTGTATTTCCAATGTTCATTCTGCTGGCGAGGAAGCTTCAACGAAACAATGGCAATAAGCCTTTCAATCATGTTACTTCTTCTGTATCGCACGAAACTTGAGTCTTGAGAAGTCTCCAATTCAATTGACAGACACCTATGCACCTTCATCAATAGGCTTCTTGTTTTCCTCCATGTTTGTGTTGAGTGTCATCGATTTTCATGCAGATTCGACATGGAAAGACTGTCTCGTCTTACTCATCGGAGCAGCAACTGAGAATGCTTTAATAAATTATTGAGAGGCCTGTTTTGGGCTTTACACAATATATTCTTCACTACATTTTCTGTCATCTGCTTTTCAAATTATCATTCAGTATCCACTCAAAAACAATTAAATCATGCACATAGTTTGCAATAGAACCTGAAGAGACCTTTCCCAGAGTTCCCCTTGCATAAGGAACAGCTCGCTGATAAGCAAGTGAAGTTGTCGGAGGAGATTTCCGGCTAGTTTCTTCTACACATGGCACCTTGCCATAATACCTCCTCCTTCTTGCAATTGTTGGAGAATTATGCCAATTTCCATGTAACCCACTTGGGGGGTTTGAATTCTGATAAAAGAACAAGAGAAACCCAAAAAAAAAAAAAAGAAATTTAGTTCACATGTATACCTGGCACAAACTGTTGCATTAGAAAGATGTTGATGAATTACCAATGCACTTCTGCTTCTCGTTGTAACACTGGGAGAGTTGTGAAACTTCCCTTTAATTAACAAACTTGGGAGGGTTGATTCCTGATAAGAAACCCAAACAGCTGGAGATAAGAGAGTTGTCTCTATGCATGCATTACTGCGTCACCAAGATCATATATATTTATTTTGAAGAAGTTTACGCATACCAGAAATAGCACTGTTGCACAATGCTTGAGCACTTCCAAATTCATGCGAACATCCTCCAGACTCCTATTAATAACAGTCATAAGAACACAATTTTAAGATTTTCGTTTTTGCCACACGCAGTGCGGTAATCATTAGAATCGGGATTGTAAATTATACCTGTGCTTTTGCTTCCCAATCCCAAAGTAAGCAGCCAATGTTGCCATCTAAAGGACAAAAAACGTGTAAGGGGAAATTTTATAGTAGTATATAGGGAAAATTACACTTGGACCCCTTCACGTATAACTCTTTTTCACATTGCTCCCTCAACTATCATGTCTTTCACATTGCGCCCTCAACTATGAGATTGGTTTCACACTTCGCCCCAATTATTAACGTTTGTTACGAATTTGATGAAAAGTTGTTTCATTTTGCTTTCAGTACTTTGTATTTTTTTTTTTTTTTTACTTCGACCTATTGATAAAATCTGTCCAAAAAGATAATGGTCTTTAACATTTGGGCACTGTAAAATAATTAGTTGAGGGGTAATGTCAAAAAAATTAATACTTCAAGCGTCACAATGAAATCAAGCCCATAGTTGAGGGGTCAAAGTATAATTTTTCCTAGTATATATTGTGAAACATGAGACAAATGCATATGTTACTCTATGTTATAGTCGAAATATCTACAAGATTGGGGTTACAATTTGTGTTGATTATAACCGAAGGTAAGATGACTTTGGTGGATAATCAAATAATACGTATATGGTGCTGCAGCAAAACAAGGTCATTCGGGCGATACAATTTCCCATTTTCATAAGTACTTGAAATCTCATATGTAATACAAGTTTCAAAATATCTATTCGCGTTTTTGCAAAAGCAACTCTCTAGGTCGTATAGATTTGTTGAAAAGTCTGAAAAACAATGTTGTTACATGTATTTGTACTTGTAATGTTAATGTGATAATATCTAATTTTACATCCAAGACTTGCTATGTGAAAAATCATTGCAAATCAAAATTGGACAAAAATGTGTGATATACGCATGCTACAAGTTTCATCTGTCAAATCATTCATGTGGAACGTTCATCGGTTTGAAATTGCTACGTACCTTCATGTTGCCAGCTCTTCTGCCAAATTTCTGCGTCAAGACTCCTAACGAATCAATCAACCCAACAGGCACCGGCGCAGGTCGACCAATCTCCGCAAACGCCTCTTTAATACGAACGCAATCAAATCTCTGAATGTTATGACCTGCCCATATTCTCCCATCCATAATGTCGAACACCTTGTCTGCAACTTCTTCAAACATCGGCGCATTTGCAACAGCTTCGCGAGTAATCCCATCACATCGACTGGACCTCAATGCAACGGCCGACAAGTCCCCCGGCCTGATCAGCGTACAAAAGCTCTCTAGCTCCGACAGCTTCTGCGGGCAAACTACGATTGCACCAAACTCCAATACCCAAAACCTCTGTCCAGGGATTTTGGGTACTGTTGTTTCCAAGTCGAAGAACACAATCTCAGATGTTCCTTCATTGTCCAAATTCGTGACAGCCATTTCTGGGTGTTGTCAAATCTTGTTTGCAGATTCAGATTATCCCATTTCCACGTGATCATGGTGTTATAAATGGGCAAATGAAGAAGAGAGAGAAGGAGGGAAATGCATGGAATGGAGAAGAATATTCTTTTCATTTGGTGATTGAATTTTCTTGCAGTTCAAGTTAAATTGAGATTGTGGGTTGGACAAAGGTGTCCGTCCTTAGCTTCTTGAGGATGTTCTATGGAAAGCAATTCCAGATAGGCAGAAGAAAAACCCCTACCACACAAAGATTGAGAGGAATTATAATTCCTTGGGTCTCTAGGTTGGATTAGCTTTGGAGAAGAAAACTTTTTGTAGAGGTTTCAACTTCCGTCACCCTACCGTTATTATGTTGGTATTTTGCAGGCAAAGCAAAGTCATGCAAGAAACTGTTGCTTAATGTCCTACGCTAATCAGTCGTAATACCATTTACAACACTGGTGGGGCACGTATGTTTGGGTGGCAATAAAGTATATGCACTTTCATTTGAGCAATTTGTGGGGTTTCATTCGGTCAATGTTATACGAAATAATTTGATAGTTTAATTAGAGACTTACCGGGGTAATAGTGAGTTTCAATTTTAAATAGAATTTACTTTGAATTCAGTAGTTATAGTTGATTACATCATCAAATTATCTGTAAATAATATTTTTATTTTGTGTGTTTTTGTTGTATTTTTATATATAATTACTAAGAGTAATTTGTGCATAAAGACACGGTGCAATATAAATAGTATTAAGAGGGATGTTAGTGACAATTAATTGAATCTATTTGAGACAGTCGGATGGACTTATTAAAATCTATCCTATTTTATATTGTAGATTTGCATTCTACTCAATTTTAAATATTTTAAAATAAAATTTTGCACTTAATTTTATTAAAATGGGATGACATTACTATCTTTTTATTTGATTGAAAGTACAATGTGGAATTTTATTCCTTTTATAGTATAAATTCAGAATTTGAAATTCTAGTATCCAGGTAATGTGCCCCAAAACTCGTATACAAACTATTTTTTCCGTCTCTTCAGACAAGAAGTGCATTGCATGAAAAAAAAAAAACAAACGTGTTGCTTCTGTGTGATCTCTTTATATATAAATGTAAAATATAACTGCTGATGACTTTAGTTTATTTCTGAAGGAAGGTAGATGGAAGCCGAGAAGACGCCTTTAAGGATCAAATCCAGGACTTGGTCCAACTACTTTTCATACACATTGAAGATCAAATGTGCACCCCAGTATACCCTCAGCTATGATCACGCAATACCCAGGTGGCCTGTCCTTCTAGCCAATTTTAACAACGGGGTTTCATTGAATCATTCAAACACGAATCGAAAGGTTTATAAACTAGATTGATGTAATTAAAGAAGGGGGGATCAAATTGGGTAATGTACATACTTTTAAAACCATTATTCTGTTTATCCTAAAAATTTAAAAGCACCGTCACCTCTCTGTTAACTAACATGTAATCTTCGTCAATTGGGAACCCAAAAAATTAAATCAAATATGTGAACAAGAAAATAAAATAAATTGGGGCTAACTTTGGATAAACAAGTTAATTACACTATATCTAATATTATAGTTAGCAATTTAAATTACTTATTTATAAAAGCACAAAAATAGTTGATATTAATCTAATTTTCATTCTATTTCATTTAACGGTACAAAATTTATTCCTAATTTTTTTTTCTTTCAAAAATATCTTATTTACATGACTTTTAATGTTAGACAACTTAGCTAACACACTGTTTAATGTCAAATAATCCCACTAATTCATACATATCTCTTTTTTTTTTCTCTGTCAACTTTAATTTTAAAGTACATAATTAAAAAAATAAATTATGATTTAAAATATAAAAATTATACGATCACTGGTTAATGTTTGGTATTGTAGACTATATTCAGAAACTTAATTATTACTAGTATATTATTATTATTATTATACGTTATCCACTCAAGTCTTAACAAACCATTATCACAATGGAATGCAAATAACGCTGAGAAAGAGACATGAAGAAATAATAAAATAAAGCTACAAAACATTGAGGCATGGGAGATCAATTTTTGCTTTTTGCGGGAATTAACATGCTACCCTCTCAAAGTTAGGGTACTACGCATTGGTTCATTTTACTCGAGATCAGTGCTCAATCCTCTATTCTATCAGTATGATGCCATAAGGGATTAGAGGAAATGAGATCACAATCTAAGCTAAGAACATTTCTAAGCGAACTCTTCAAAATAGTTATTCAAAATATATTAAAATATTATATTTTTTTATTTTAAAGAGTCATTTTTACAAAATTATTCCAATCATACTCTCTATTTTAGTTAACTACTATAAGCCAAAAAATTGCATAACTTGACACTTCATAAAAATGCAAAATAATTATTCCCTTGGAGTGCAAAAAGAGTTATTTAGCTCTCAAAATATAAAATAGCTAGCCAAGGAGACTAGTTAAATGTAGAGTCATTTAATCCAAATGTAAAAGAGCATCTCCAAGAGGCTATCTAAACCCTCCCCTTTAGCTATTTTACATAAGTTCCAAGAGTTTAAAAAAATGGTTAGTTAAAATAGATAATACAATATTTAAATATATTTTGAGTAGCTATTTTAGATAACCCTTTTACAGATGCTCTAAACTAGTTAGTCAAATAACTAATCTCTTAGTGTACAATTTTAGGGTTTGACTCTTTATTTTAGCTAACAAATTCCAAATAACTAGTCTTTTGAAGGTACTCTAAGGTATGAGTTCCACGCTCTACAACATTCTTCAATTCAAGGCGATCAAGCGAAGTGAGATGAAAAGTAGGGCGCTGGAGCTCATAGCAGTATCCAAGAATATCATTTTCTTCAGCACAACCCCTAATGTTAGATAACTCAATAAACATACTCTTCAATATTAGACAAGTATATTAATTCACACATATCTATCTTATTTTCTCTATATCCATTTTAATTTTAAATTATATAATTAAAGACAATAAAATAAATTACTATCTAAATTATAAATGTTGGATGGTCAATGATCAATTTTTTGTATTGTACATTGTATTTAGGCAGAACAATATTATTGAGACCTAATTTACTGACATAATTTATTGATTTAATTCACTGTGATCTTTGAATTGATTACAGGCCCCATAAACCATTGGAACTTGATGTTGATTCAATGATTGCTATGCACCCACATCATTATGTCAGCAAATTATATCAGATTTTTAAGTCCAAATAACATTATACATTAAAGCAGGCAGTTATTACTAGTATATATTACTATTGCAAAGATGTTCAAATTTGTCGTTATCCAATCAAGTCTAAACAAATCATTATCACAATGAAATGCAAATAAGACAATGAGAAAGAGACATGAAGGAATAATAAAAAATACGGCATCCAAAGATAGGTATGAGAGATCAATTTTCAGTTTTGGTGGGCCTTCCAAGGTTAGGAGAGTAAAGGGTGTGCAATTAGGACAATTAAAACATGAGAGGTGGATGGAAGAAAGCGCTTAGGTAATTCATCTTCTTAGAATTCATCATTATCAATAGGTGCTCCTTCATTTTTTTTTTTCAAAAAAAAAAAAAAAAGAAGAGGATAACACCCTGGATAATCAAGCCAATGTTGTCACCAAACAATCTGGGAGTGAAATTTTCAAATGTGGCGAACCTAAACATCGCTGATGCCACAGCAGCGTAACCTTCTTCCCCTCCCGGACTGCCCCTCTTTAGGCGAGGAAGTCACTTATCATTTGTTGGACTCTTTGGAGAGAGTGAGCTCTTTGGCTCGGACGAGACAAGTCTGAAAATTTTGGATACTACAATGATTTTGAAGCTATCAAGTCTCTAAGCATCTGTTCAGTTTACTCGAGATCAGGTGCTCAATGTTCTTCTCAGTAGGTATAGGCTCAAGGATCAACGTGATAAGGTATCATAGATAATGGGATTGGGATCTAAGCTAAGGTATGAGCTCCACGCTCTACCATCAATGCAAGTATCCCCTCAAGATATGATCATGGAATACCTTTAACAAAGATTGGAAAGTTTAAAAACTAGATTGACATAATTAAGGACGGGGATCAAAATTTGAGAATATACATACTTAAAACATTATTGTGTTTATCCCAACAGTTTAAAAGTATCACCAGCTCTTTGTTAGCTAACACGTGATCAAAATAATCTTTGACAAGGATATATTTGGGAACACAAAAAAATAAATCAAATATGTGAAAAAATATATAAAATTAAAACCCTAGGAGTAAATTTCTTTTTATATTTAGAAATGGATCAACATTTTAAGTACAATCTATCTAGTATTACGGGTAGCAATTTAAATTGGACATTTATAAAAGAACGACAACAGTTGAGATTAATCCAATATTCATTCAATTTCATTTAACTGTGTAAAATTTATTTGAAAAAAAAAATTTGTCTAAAAATATCATCTTGTTTGCACGAACCCCAATGTTAAACAACTCAGCTAAATACGCTCTCCAATATTAGACAACCCCACAATCTACACTAAACTCTCTCAAATTTTCTCTCTGTCTATTTTAATTTCAAATTGTAAATTTAAAAAAAAAATAAAAATAAATTGCTATTTCAAATATAAATTTTGTATTATTAATGCTTGATTTTTTATATTGTAGAGTATATTTAGACACACAGTTATTTTCTAGTATATTTCTTTTACAAAGAAGTCCAAATAAGTCATAATCCAACGAGGGTCTAAACAAATCATTATCACAATAAAAATGCAAGTCTAAACTAATCATCTATAATTTATAATATAAAGTAGGGTAGGTTTTAATATACTCATTTAATGGTCACCAACATTCCTCTTAAAATTATTCATACTACATCGTGCTTTCAAGCACGGGTTACCCTAGTCTATATAATAAAATAGGACTGGAACTTAGCTTAGCATAACAACGGCGTAGATATTACAGATTATATTTTAACCTTTTACCACAGTAACTCGTTTAATTTAACTTTTTAATCATAATAACTCAACCTATATTTTAACTTTTCCACTACAATAACTCATTTAAA